TAAAAGTAAATCAGAAGAGAATTTATAGTAAATAAGCAGGCAAATTTGCCTGCGAAACCCTACAATCTAAGGGATAGTGACTGATTATGATCGGCTCCATAAACAAAATATTGCAAGAAGACATCAAACCCCACCACCGCCATATGAAGAAAATGGAGGTTCTTTCTCACAAATACCACCACTACACTCGTAATGATAGGAATAATTATATCTAGCTATTAGTATTTTTCGCTGTAATTATTTTATATTACTAGAAATCACCCAATACTTGTATAATATGAATACAAATATAATAAAAATAATATCATCATTTTTGGAGGAAAATTAACCGAGAGGTACTTTGCATGAATTAGCTTGAGTACTTTTTTTCCTTGCGCTTCTGCCTCACCTCTATTTCTTTCTGCAGGTTCAATGGTGTGTCAACCCTTAGCCGAATTGCAAGAGGATCATCCTCAGGCCTACTGAGATCAAATACAATAAATTCTTCTTTTCGAAGGTAGCTATTAATGACCATCAAGGCATTTTTTACATCATCAGAATATCGCCTAATAATCTTGGAAATATCTTCATGCGAGCTACCAGAATTACAGATTATTATGTGTGAGGCATTTTCACGCATGAATGTATCAATTTTATGACATCATTACAATGTTAATCCTCTTTAGACGTCCCAAGGATATATTACTTTTTTTGTTATATATTGGCATTTCAATCCTGCCGAGAAAATCTTTGACCATCATCACCCATACAATAGATGCAGTATCACAAAATAAATTCCCGTGATAGGATCGCTGAAAAATTTTCCGGTAAAGCATTTTCTCTACATGTGCTGAATTCTCTAATGTTTGGCGCAGAATAGCAGAATACTCGCAGAATCGTAAAAAAAATACAAATTAAGTAACAAACTTCTTAAATACAAGGTGAAATTGAATGTTGCGAAAATGAATGATAGTGGTAAGTGTGAATTGGAAATATTTTTTACCTTGGTTCAAATTTATGTTGTAGATTCGAAATTTCTTAATCTCGAGGAAGTTCTTTTGCGGAGAATATTATTTTATATAGTCTGTGCAGATGGTGATGTTAATAGGTGAAACTTTTGTAGATATGTAATGGATTATTTATTTCGAGAATCTAATTTAGAAAAAGCTCGTAATTAGCAATAAAAGATAGAAACAAATTGGCTATAGATCTTTTAAAAGAGCAAAGAAATAATACGACGCAGCGACTCGCATTATATGGCCTAGGGTCCGCGTGCTCCCTCCCTTGAAAGCGTGTCATATTCCTCTATATTTATTACATCATGTCTGGGTAATAATAAGCTTTTGTTAAATAAAATTAGTAATCGAGATAGCAAACGAAAAGTACTCCCTTAGCGTATGGTTTTGTTAATATGTGAAAATATATAGTAAAAGGTCAAAGCAGTATACTATCACTGAAAGAAGTGTAGTCAACGTTGAAGCGTACCATCATGGTCGACCTCAGTCATTTACGTCCGGACATAATGTCCCCGCTATCCATGATGAATAACCTCAGTTTTTTCCCGACCTTCAACTTAATACCTAAGCGTCCGCTTGTGCAGGGAGATATCCGCAGAATACAAGCGATTAACCTCAGTTTTTTCAGCTCGAGTAAATCAACTACACTTTGAAAAGAAAATTTCTCATCCTGTTCCGCTAGATCAACTGACAACAATCATGTGATAAATGAATCTACGTTATACGTATGGCAGGAACCAACCAATCATCTATCGAATCAGTAGTAATCATCACGGCAAAAAATTATCGCGCTTTTTCGCGTCTGTTAACAAAATTAACAAAAGCAATAAATGCCAAGATCACAAGAAGTTCGGGAAGAGCAAGTTAAATTCTTGAAGACACACCCAGACCCTCGTCCGTTGAACTTCTTTATGGAATTCAAATACCGAAGAAGGTTATCTGGCTATAATGATTATAGTTTATGTTTGGACAACGCGTTAAAAGATGCTCCTGAATCGGAAAAGCTGTTGGATTTACGAAAAAATTTTATTGGTAAAGACTATAATGACGACTGGGAGCAATATGAGGATAGGAAGAAGAATAAAAAAGTCAATGTATGTTTTTTTTTATTCGAGTGAAGAAACTTTGGTGTATGCTGACAAAAGGTTACATCGAAATAATAGGACAGGATAAAAAAAAGAAAACGGGAGACACATGCTTCATTTCATACACTATTAGACGATGGTATCGATGGTGGAAAATCGGTTCATGATCAGAAGAGAGTAAGTTAGTTGTTTTCATCGATTTTATGAATAATAATACTAAGATTTTTCGTTGACTCAGAAACGAACCAACGAAAACCCGACCAGTGACACCAATTATAAGGAGAACGAGGACATCGGTATTGAGGATGTGGATAATAGTGAAAATGAAGTGGGAAAATTTAATGAGGTATGTAACTGTGTAATAATACATTCTACGATTGTGACATTATTGATTTTTTTCCACCGTGCAGGCGATAGTAGATGTCTTAGGGAATGCCGTTGAATACTCGGAATTAGCGGAAAAAATTTGTTCGATTTATACGGAACAATATCCTGATGGAGATTTGATCGACCTTCGCCCATGTTCATCTTTCTTCCAAGATCGATAGCAAAGTCATACCTATCAGAAATGGACATTATAACGGAATCGTTAATTCCTGATGATGTGCACCAATTCCTAGTACAATTCTTCTCACAAAATATTTCTGATAACGATTGGCAAATTAAAGTTGATGATTTACGATCCTCAGAGAAAAACAATCTAATTACTGCACTAGTACGAATTTTACGTCGTACATTACCACAGTTGTATGTAGTCATTATCATCATATTAATTCATTTTTCCAAATTCTGTTCTAACCATTTTTCTTTTGAATAGCGTGAAAGCGTTTTCACTTGGAGCTCAAAACCCTCTTCAAAGCATTGCAACAATCGAGCAAGCGCACCTTAACGCGTTTGTACATCCATGCCTAGATAGTGCTTTATGGAACGTAGCGAAAATACATTACGAGTATGGCGAGATTCCCTCGAAAAACCATATTAATAAGGACCGTGCAGATGGCGTTGGTCTTATGACCAACGCTGATAAATTCCAAATTGTATATGTGGAAGGCTCCAAGCCAGTTGCGAAGCAAGATAAAGAAATCGCTGACGCTGAAAAAATTGCCCGCAATCTGAAAAATATATTTTCAAAAACTGTAAAAGAAGTAATCAAAAATCGTAGGCGTTTACCAAAGAGGCTGTTTATATTTGGCGCACAGAGTTTTCGACTACGTCTTCATTTATATTATCTTGATTACTGTGGTGCGTATGCTTTTTTATTTATACTATGAAGAATTGATATTCACTGTCAATATCAATTTAGGAAATTTTCGACTAAATGAGGTTGATAACGCCAACTTACCACGGAATTTTTCGGAGATGCAAGACTTTGTATATTTCTACGAATGTATATTGAAATGGGCGGTTAGTGTTATTGCAGGGGGGTTTTGTGTTGTATGCATCAAAAATTCGCTAACTTTGAATATTGATTATAAATTTAGTTGTTAGTTCAGGACGTAATAAAATCCTTTGACGATGCAAGATCCGAAAAGAGACCCTCCCGGTTCTCATATGCGAATTCCCTTCTTCAACTAGATGAATGATCTTATTTCCGCGGATATTATAGATAAAGCATTCTTTTTTTATCTTTCCATCAAGATTATTTTAGTAGAATTGGTCTAGTCATTTATTTCTTTAATTATTGCGAAATATGAATTTTACATTACAATTAAGTTGCTTACCTTGCATTAGTATACCGAACACTTAACTCTTTTTATACAATATAAATATTATAATAAATGATTAAAAATTGTATGGATAAAGCTGGGGTGTGAATCCAATATCGAAACAACTCGTAATTCTCATATTTCACTTAAAAATAATAAATGTCTAATTCGCAAAATTGCAAACGCATTTAAAGTTTCGAGTTTACTCAATGAGACCCAATTCACGAAGATGCTCTGGAATAACTACAAATGGGTCTTCGTAATACCAAACATACTTTAGTGCAATCTGATTCTCTTTGCATAATTCTTTCTTGAGTTGATCCCGCGCCCATCCTATTTACTGATATAAAAAAATGGCTTAATGCTCAAACAATATATCAAATCTTTTGTCCTTCACTTAAACATATACCTTATGCTAGCTATTCTAGAATCACAAAACTGAATACTGTATATCAGTGTGATTTGATCGAAATACCATATGATGATGTGAATATAGATTTATTAGACGATGGTCCAATCTTTTACTATGTATTGTTGGTTATAGACTGCGTGACTAGGTATAAAGATTTCGTTTTTTTAACATCAAAAGTAGTGAAGAAGTTGCAGAAGCTTTTAAGAGTTTATATGATAATCCTGACAATACTCTCAACTAGCCTCGAAAAATACAATATAATCAAGGTCGCGAGTTTATAGAAAGCATAATATTGATAATGGATAAACATAATGTTAACATTTGAAGGATTATAACACGTTTCAGACACACAAGCTTGGCTATGGTTAATCATTATGCTGGATTATTCGAGTTTAGAGTTTAGAGTTTTTAAAAATCAGTATTCAATAGAGTTTCTCCTATCTACTGGTGAACGTTATAGGGAATGTGAACAATTTGTAAGAAGAATTGTTGATAATATGAATGATACTCCAACTCGATTAATTGGAATAATGCCACAAAATTTGAGCAGGTGTATTCCAAGCCATTGGTAAAATATAATCGTCCGATAGGTGTTGATGAATCACAGTATTCAAATGTTACTACTATCCAATTTTTACTTGCTCCTGGAGAATGAGAAAATGATCCTTTGAATGATATAGAATAACAGATCCAATATAGTCTCCCAGCCTATATAAAATTTGAAGAATTGTTGTTGGAAAGAATCTTCCAATGCCTGTTTTATATTATTTAGACGAATCAGGACCTCAACGTTCCTTTATAAGAAAACAATTAATGCATATTAAGGAAAAGCCTATATTGCCTCCTAGGTGAGTACAGTCAACCCTTGATATAACGAATTTTATGTCCTGAACTTCAACTTCGTTATAGAGCTATAGTGAACTTTTTAAAGAATTTGATTGGCTAGTTCGTTATAACAAGGGTAAATTTAATATAGTTGTCCAAAAAATTCGTTATATTAAAATTCGCTATAGAGAGGTATGACTGTATTGGGAGATAACTGAATACGTACAAGGCACTTCTTATAAAAGTTTCTAAATCTACTACACAGTAAGAGATTGTAATAAGAATTACTCTTTCTCAATAACATAATGCTCTCTTTTTCCAATCATGCCAGATTTGTGCATTTAGATTCATTTGTTCTTACGAGTGAAAAAAAGACACAATTTGGTAATATTGGTTACCATTATATTCGAAGGCCAAACCTAGTTCTTCATTATATTTATCTAGGTGTAAACTTTCTAAAAATTTAGGTTTCAGAGTGGAAATTTTTATTTAATAAATCTTCGAATATATATAGGGTTGGTAAAAGTCCTAATTGATTCTAATTAGTCCTGATTAATTTTAAAAAATTATTAATTTTAAAGATTAAATTTTTTTAAATATTATCATTATATTCAATTTTTTAATTAAAATTACTTATTAAAATAAGTTTAAATTTCTTTTTAAAATTTAAAATATCTTTAAAATTTTAGACCTAAGACCTAGGTCTGTAGACCAGGTCTTAAATTAAGTATATTTATTATTTTTAAAATTTTTTTTGTTTTAAATTAATAAAATAATTAATATATAATAATTATTAAAAGATTAATTTATTATTAAAAAATTTAATTAATAGTATATATATTAAAATTATCTTTAAATTCTTTAAGACTAATTAGAACTTATTAGAATTTTTACCAACCCTAAATATATATCGACATGTTCTTTCCAATACATTAGGACAAATATTATACTATCTATAATTCTATTTCATATTTTTATATGATGTCTTCCATTGATAGTCCTTTTTAGATGTCTATAAATAAATGTTAGAATTACTATTAACTTTAGCTAAACACCTTCCTTTACGTTTCTAGGTATAGGCTAAAGCTTTGGTATCAGTTCTGTTATAATATTGCATTTTATAAACGCAGAAAAATTGATCTGAATATATGCAAATGCAGATTGCTAGTTCAGAAGTAGAATTAAACTTGGCTACTAGTATTGCATAAGCAAAAAAAGATAAATATCTCTAGTATTTTTAGCAAAAGTGGGATCAGACTTCTACATCGCATCGATATTCAAAATAAAATGAAGGGGCAGGTTTCCATTAATGCACTCATGAGCATCAGGTAAGTTATAAACTTCATATAGGTAATCAATTAATGTAAAGCCCAATTCTATCACTTGAATAATATATTTAGAAACAATTTCTTCAGCATGATAGGCTTTTAAAAGGATCACATTCTCTCTAGTATTAGATGTCAATAAATGTTGAAAATATGTATGATCATTATAGTTCAGCTTAAAATCAAGGTCTGCTATACCTGAAAAGAGCTTTATTGCTTCATTTATTTCTTCAGGATTGGGTTCAAATTTTTTTTGCACAAGTAGCATAGAAGTATATGCAAAAAGGTAGTATAAAATTACATAAAAATTTGTAATCTTCAAAATAAAAAATATATATAATCACCTTTACTCATGAATTCAAAAAATATAGCATACTTTTGGTGAAATGCAAAGGTAGAATAATATATAGAAAAGAAAATAAGAAATTATACTTTTGCGTTCTACTGACGATAGGCAGAAAAGATGTCAGAAAGGTGAAAAGACTAAGAAGAATACACAAAAAAAAAGGGTATGAAAACTATAAATTCTGAACCAATTCAGCACTTTATGCCTCACCTGAAAATCAAAAATGAAAAATATATGGATTGCAAGTTTAGCACTTTATGTCTCATTTGGTAATCAAGAAATGGCAATCAAAAAAAAAATATACAGATTGTAAGTTTGGCATTTTGTGCCTCAACCTAACAATCAAATGGGAATATAAATGTAGGTTTGTAAGTAAGTTCAGTATCCTCTCTTAATCTATCGATCTGCGAGAGATAGCCTTTCCTTTTCTTGGCAAATTTTAGCGAAATTATAACATAAAGCTGGTCAAATTAACCATAAATTTACTACACTACCGACATGATTTTTTTTATTACATCTTAACAGGCAATCAAGCAGGTGTAAAGGGTAAGCCTCTCAATATAGGATCGAGAATTCATTCAGATGCAGAAGACCAGTACCTTTAACATAAAACCAGGTATCCAAATAGCTACAGAAGGCCAGCAAGTCCCAAAATAGAATTTGACATCCATTCAAACATAGGAGGTCAATACCAATTGGATAGTCACAAATATACATGAAGTCGAAATAGATCATTTCGGATATCCGAAATGGTCAAAATGATGTCATATCACATGATTTTTATATATAGAAAAAATTAAAAAAACAAAAGACGTACGATCTCAGTCAATATCGCACCGATTCGTATTAAACAACTACCATTCGATTCCCCGCGACTAGAAGAATCCAATGAGCTAACATTCATTGATTTCGGATCATCCAATCTCGAGATAATCGCATTTGTATTATCGGCCGAAATTATGAATCAATAAATTCTACTTTTTAAATAAAGGAGTCCGGATTTCGAAATACAATCGCAATTATCTCGAGATAGGCTGATCCAAAATCAATGAATGTTAGCTCATTGGATTTGACAAGTCGCGGGGAATCGAATGGTAGTTGTTTCATACGAATCGGTGCGATATTGACCGAGATCGTACATCTTTTGTTTTTTTTTGTTTTTTCTATTTATAAAAAATCATTTGATATGACGTAATTTTGACCATTTCGACTTTTTATTTCGACTTTGACCTCCAAAGTCAAAACATTTTGACTTTTGGGTTTTCATTTCGACTTCATGTATAGTCACAAAGCAACAAAAAGACCACAGAATAATAAAAATACGAGATAGCTATAAGGCAATAAAAAGGTCACAGAGCACTGAAAATATTAACAAGATAACAGTCTAATAGTAACTAGGTAACAGTCTAACAGTTACTAGGTAACAGTCTAATGCAACTGGATTACACTCTTATAAGAGTATAATTTAGTGCTTATTTAAGAAATGATTATCTATAAAATTTATCAAGAAGAAAAAAAAATAATAAATATTGGAAAAAAAACATCATGATGATGCATTATTATCTAATAAAAAGCAAAAATCTTTAAAAAGAAAAATAACTATTATTTTTTTTGATTTGTTCTTTTGAATAATAAAAATCTGAAATTTCTTCTTAATTTTTTCTCTTACTAATTATTTAAACTTTTGTAATCTATTTTCTTTTTATTATTTTTAGTAAAACTGGTAAATCTTTGGTTACTAAATAATCTTTTCAGTTTATTTTTGACAAAATCATTTTTTAATAAATCTATTCAATCTTAAAATTTATCCATTACAATATCATGCTTTAACACAATTTTAAATATTTGTCATTTTTTCCATTCTATAGTTTTATTTAATGCTTTCTCAGTTTCTTCTCACTCTATTCATATTTTATCATCTAATTCTTTTACACTTGCTTCTAATTTTTTTAGCGTTGCTGTTTGAAAC